TGTGTGTGTGTGTGTGTGTGTGTGTGTGTGCGTGTGTGTGTGTGCGTGTGTGTGTGTGTGTGTGTGTGTGTGAACGAAAAGAGCAATTACATCCCTTCTTTTCAGAGGGTTTTGACCTCTCAAAACCAACCAACAATCAAACGATAGGGAAAAAAGAGAGAAACAAAGATCCGTGCTTTCCTCTGCAGGTAACTTTATTTAAAACAAATGACTAAGAACGGGCAAACAAATTTAGATATTATGAAGCATGAGCAGTAACAAACAAAGTAATATTACAGTATTACAAACGATAAGGCACACGTTACCTATTTCCTTACCAATGTATAGAGACTCACACTCACACAATTTTGCTCCGTGTCAAACATAAGTTGTTATTTCATGAAAAGATTTCAATGTTATAATTTAACTGTTGTTGTTTTTGTTGTTGTTGTTGTTGTTGTTGTTGCTGCTGTTGTTGTTGTTGTTGTTGCTGTTATTGTTGTTGTTGTTGTTGTTGTTTTTGTTGTTCTTGGTGCTGCTGCTGCTGCTGCTGTTGTTGTTGTTGTTGTTGTTGTTGTTGTTGTTGTTCTTGCTGCTGCTGTTGTTGTTGTTGTTGTTGTTATTGCTGTTGTTGTTGTTGTTGTTGTTGTTGTTGTTGTTGTTGTTGTGGACAGTCAGCTGATGCATTGCCATTTCACAAAACAACAGATGAGACTATGTCTTTAACTGTTACTGTTTTGTTTGGACAACTGACTTCGGTTTGTTTCTTTGCCCTCAATATTTAAAGTAAAAAAAAGGACGGCAAAAACAATATGAGATGGGAAGATTTTCTTTTCTTTAAAGTAATAAAAAAGAAAGACTATCGGCATGGATCAGGAGGACCCATCACCAAAAAAAAAAGCTCCCCGTTAATTTTTAAAGTACAAGCTTTTATCTGTGAGGCATAGGCCCTACTGACAAAATGAGACACTTCTCACAATGGGTACATCGACCGAAAATCGACAATTTTTAGGTCAACTTATCGATTTTCAAGTGATGCTATTTCATTCGAGTTCAACACGTCTTTTATGATTTCGTACTGATGAACTGTACAAGCTCAACCTATAAATTTGATGAATGTAATGTCCATAGAGCTAAGATCCGAGAAAAGACTCACTTTGTCAGCTCGCTTCACACTAATATTATTATTTTACGTTTGTGCGCAGCCCAGTTTGTCTCAAAGTTGTAGCATCACAGATTTCCAAACAACTTTGCTTCTATTCAAACTGTATGCATATATTTTTTTAAGTAAGTGTTTTTCGGCGCTCGCAACTGCATTTGGTCATATGAGCGCCCAGGACACATTAAACATTTTCAGTCGGTAGGAAAAATTAATATATCATACTGAGTAAAGATACATGTTCCATGCAATAAACATACAGTTTAATTAAAACTATAACAAGGGTTGACTGAGGTTATGTAGATTTTTGATAAGACCAAACAACCGAGAGATACTGCACGCCAGTTCAGTTCACGGGACGGATTTATAATACGCTGTACATGTACCGTCCGTCAGCCGTCAGCCCAACTGACGCGTGGTATACTGAGGGTTAAAGCATTTCATTGGTCGCTTTTAAGCACAAGGGGGCTATCCCGAAAAATACTATTTTGAGAAAATCGAAGGTAAAGTTTTTGACCCTTGTTTAGTTTCTTTAAAAGACAAGGACAGTTTTCTCTATAACCAAACAAATATACACACCAATGAAACCAAACTTCTGCTATAGGAAGGCCAATGCACACTTTTGGTGTAGGTCAAGATTTGTGGAAACCCCCGAAATCTGGGTTAGCCCGCTTGTCCTTAAAAGCGAGCAATTTACACAAGTTCACTGGATACATTCTTATTCTGTTGTCGGATAGATGGCAACAATGGTAGACAATGGTAGAAAATTGTTGAGGTGAAAGGTGGTCTGAGACTTTTTTGTCTGTACCCTCTTGCCCTTAATACTTTTCTCTCTCTCTCTCTCTCTCTCTCTCTCTCTC